GGTGCTGGGAGATCAAGCCGACAGCACCTCAGTTGCTCTTGGGGACGCCTGGGGCAGAGCAGCTGGGGTGCTGCTGGGTTGGTCCCACAGCACCAAGGGGCGCATCCCACCCCCCCGACCCCAGACCCCTCATAGCCCCCCTTCCGATAGTCCAGCATATCTGATTATCCGGCACCCCCTGGGTCCCAAAGGTACCAGATTATCGGAAGTTTACTGTATATACTTCTCTATTGTAATTTCATGGTTTATAAGGAACATTCATAGGTTAAAAATAATATATTTTACAAAATAAAGACCCTGCTCCTGCAACTGGCTCCATGCAGATTGACCTCTGTGTGACACTCTACATTCCAAAGGAGGGCCCTGAAAGCCCCCAGATATTCCCCATTTGTACATAATTGTGATATTGCATATGAAGCATGACTTGTGAGGTACTGGGGAGAGGTTATGATTGGCTGAAACTCACTGTTCTATCTAAATATGTGCATCTTTAGTGCATATGAAGTTATGAGATTGGTGCTGTATGGTTGTCACTTAAATCTGCTCTGTAAACTGGAGAATCAGCCAGATATTAACTCTCCAGACACAACAGCAAGAAAATTTACCAGCACCTGGGCAGGTGTCAAAACAACAATCGACAGCCATTGTCCAGCAAGGGAATCACAATTCAATGACTCATCTGCATGAGGTTTCACCAAGCCACCAGATCCAGCCTGCAGCTCGACCTCAGGCAGTTGTCCTAACTGCCCCACCTTTGCATGCCACCCAGAGCAGCTGGCAAAGGGGGCTGTGTGCTTGTCTGAATGCAGCAAGCTCGGGGGGCAGAGAGGGAGAAGCTCTGCACACTGCCCCTGCTGGGGGCTGTGTGCTTGTCTGAATGCAGCGAGCTCAGGGGGCAGAGAGGGAGAGGCTCTGCACACTGTCCCTGCTTCCAGCACAATCTCGCACCTCCCATTGGCTAGGAATGTGGTCAACAGGAGCTGTGATCACCTGTACTTGTAGAGGCGCAAGTAAACAAAGTGTTTCGCAGCCAGCTAGTGGCTTGCCCTGACAAGCTGTGACCCAGAGTTTACTGTATATATCCAGAGTTTGAAAACCTCTGCCCTAGCCTCATTTCAGGGCTGAGTTGTACAGACTGTCTGTAGCAGTGCCCGGGGCTGTCTTCCTATGAGGATTGTCAGCAGTTAAGAAGGATGCTTGAGTGGCATGTGAGTGTTATGGTGGGTAAGTGAAAATATACTGGTAGATGAAGTCCTGTGCAGACCGGTAAGTCTAACATCAGCACCGGGCAAATTAACTGAAACTATAGTAAAGAACAGATTTGTCAGACACACAGATGAACATAATTTGTTGGGGAAAAGTCAACATGGTTTCTGTTAAGGCAAATCATTCCTTACTAATCTACTAGAGTTCTTTGTGGGGAGGGGGTCAACAAACATGTGGACAAGAGGGATCCAGTGGATATAGTGTACTTAGATTTCCAAAAAGCCCTTGACAAGGTCCCTCACCAAAGGCTCTTAAGTAAAGTAAGCTGTCATGGTCCTCTTATGGATTGATAACTGGTTAAAAGATAGGAAACAAAGGGTTAGAATAAATGGTCAGTTTTCAGAATGGAGAGAGGTAACTAGTGGTGTTCCCCAACGGTCTGTAGTGGGACCGATCCTATACAACATATTTCTCGATGATCGGGAGAAAGGGATAAACAATGAGCTGGCAAAATATGCAGATGATAATAAACTGCCAAGATCATGAAGAACGAAACAGACTGTGAAGAGCTTCAAAAGGATCTCACAAAACTAGGTAACTGGGCAACAAAATGGTAAATGAATTTTAATTTTGATAAATGCAAAGTAATCCAAAATGATGGGGACTAATTTAGCTATTACCACTCTAAGGGTATGTCTACACTACCCCCCTAGTTCGAACTAGGGGGGTAATGTATGCATACCGAACTTGCTAATGAAGCCCGGGAGTTGAATTTCCCGGGCTTCATTAGCATAAAGCCGGCTCCGCCATTTTTAAAAGCCGGCT